TGCCCGAAGCCCTAAGTCTTCATTTAACACCCTTTTCACCGTGGTTCTGCTTAACCCCATCTGAAGGGCCAACAGTTTCTGCTTACGTTTGGGATTTCTTTGAATTCGCGCCTTCACAGCTTTTATCACTGCTGGAGTCCTAACAGACCGAGGGCGACCACTTCTTGACCTGTCATCTACACTAGAGTCTTCATTGTATCGTTTGATGGTACGATAAACGAATCTTTTGGTTATATTCAAATTTCTCAGTATGTTAAAAATTTGAATTGGCGCGTAACCGCAACGATGCAACGCAATAACTGCAACACGGTCTTCTTTAAGCGTCCACTCCATATTTAAAAATGAGTAAAATTCTAAAAGTATACATTTTTATTTTCATGAACAATTCGAAATTCGAATTCAATAAACTTTTTTGTGGCCAGCATTCTAAAAAAAAGTTTTTACTGTGTGACAATACTTATGACCTGACTAGGTATATAAATCTACGTTGGTTTTTACGGATGTTCCGTTATAACTATTGAACCATGCAACCGATTGACTTGAAACTTGGTATCCATGTAGAAAATACAGGTACTTAATGGATAGGCTAATATTTATATGAATGTTGGACTCCCTACACCAACTGGGGGGCGTTAATCATGAGAATCTTTGTGGAGGTGAGAAATAATAATGTTAATTTTAAATGCCCAACGAAGCGGACGGGTACAGCTAGTGTTCATATAAAATGTTATTATCCTGCTTGTTTAAGCCGTGAAGTCATTTCTGTTCAAAGGGAAGATTTCGACCTCATGTCTCAAGGTCCCTCAGAATTCGGTCTGTAATGTCGAAGAGGTACTAATGAAGTTTAGCATTTCATACGTTGATCATCGGCCCAGTTTCCTATCATCAAGCGGCCTAGATAGTGGCGCACCTACCTGTTATCGAATGTTACGAGCCTCTGTGTTTAATCGCTCATTCAATTAAACTCTGTTGACGGATGATAAAGGTAAAATGGTGTCGCTTCAATTTTTGTTTTTTAATAATACATTTTCTTTGATTTTATTGTTACTGGAGATCCAACGATCTTAAGTAATTGATGGCTACGTATTAAAACGAATTTTTGTAGTCAAATGTATCCCTGTAGTGTCATTTCATTAAACCATGAAGACTATGAACCATAAAAATTATATAAACGGACTTAAAACAATGATTAAAGTCAAATTAACAAATTAATAAAAAAAGGTATATATAAAATTGTAAGAAATAAACTGATCGACCGATTCGATCTGAAGCCACTTTGGGTCCATACTATAACACCAAATGGACCATGAGCTCATATATTGCTCATCTGTGCAACAATTGCTAAAAACGCAAAAATTCTAAGCAATGCTTAAATACAAGTACCGCATCCGGAAAGATTAGAAGTAGTATTATATTTCGTTCGCACTAAAAATCTTTTTGTTTTTATGATTGAGGGCTTACTGTTGGCACGAAGGCCTTTCCAGTTTCACAGGGACAGGTGGGCGAGCAAGGGCTCAGCCAGAAGGGGCGGAATTTGCTTACAGCTACCCGAGCGCCTCCAAGAGAGACCTAGCAACTCAAGAGTAGCTGCTTCACGAATGAATCTACTACTGGATCGGAATCGCGACCCGCTGAAAAGATCCAGCGAGAAACTCAACGGGCTGATGCATAGGTTAGGTTGCACGTCGAACTCTTTGCCGAGATCGACGAGTACGGTTACCGGGGTCTCTACTCCGAGTGTTAGAGCGGAAGTCGTCTAATACAAGAGTTATTGAACCAGATAGATCCGTAAGGACGTGTCTAGGGCGAAGACGGTGCTTGGCTCATGCGTGATCAGGATCAGGCTAAAAATCTCTGGTAAAAAGAAGTGTATAAACAAAAAACTTCTATACAGTTTTCATTCAGTACATTTGAACTGTAAATGAGCTTTAGTATTCCGGCGTTTTAGGTCGGGCTATCCCTGCCAAACTCTTATCCATTTCTTTCTTTAATTGTTAGCAAGCGCACAGGTACTTTGAAAATATCACTAAGTTTCTCTAAAGCGAAACTGTATTGCGACTCAATCGTAAAGTTATTATTATTTTAAAGCGCCTATAGAGATTTACGTAAATAGAAAGTACAGATTTCACTTTAACTAACGCCACGTTTACAATTCGAAATTCTATCGCTTTATAGTACCTACTTCGGTGACACATTATAGAAAATTTGAAACAGTCTTATCAGATAAAAACGTTACTCATAACAAGGACCTGGATGTACTCACAACGAATGACTGAGTCACTTAACTATTTTAGCGGAAGTATCGATCTACAGTACTAACATGATTAACGTACTCTTCGCAATTGGCAATGTAATATGTTTGTTTGATGACTGTGGAGCTTTATTTCAACATCAAACATATCTTGGCTCTATGAATATTTTTTTTCTTTCTTTTCTTAAATAGGTGTACGAGCTCACAGCCCACCTGGTGTTAAGTGTTTACTGGAGCCTATAGACATCTACAACGTAAATGCACCACCCACCTTGAGATATAAGGTCTAAGGTCTCGGTATAGTTACAACGGCTGCCCCACCCTTCAAACCGAAACGCATTACTGCTTCACAGCAGAAATAGACAGGGTGATGGTACCTACCCGTGTGGACTCACAAGAAGTCCTAATCTCAGGCCGGATTTCTTACTAATAATAATTAGTACGATTTTTCATCAGACCCAAAGTATTCCTATCCTATAAAATCTTCCACGGATATGTACGGCCATTTTACCGGGAAAATGACTACTTATCTTACAATTTACTCAAAATTACACATTATTTACATTTCGTAAAAAGAGGCTTCATATCGTAAATAGTGAAATCAATATCCGTTTGCAGCTACGTTATACGTTCGAAATACCAAACCAGTAATGTAATGCAAAACCTGCTGGGTGACGCGACCTGTCACACGAACGCATCAACCCTACGCGGCCTCAACTCATTCACTTTTAGTTGTATTACAATGCGTGCCGTGTAATTATCAACAGCAAAATATAGTATCATAGTATTTTTTACTGGTGGTAGGACCTCTTGTGAGTCCGCACGGGTAGGTACCACCGCCCCGCCTATTTCTGCCGTGAAGCAGTAATGCGTTTCGGTTTGAAGGGTGGGGCAGCCGTTGTGACTATACTGAGACCTTAGAACTATATCTCAAGGTGTGTGGCGCATTTACGTCATAGATGTCTATGGGCTCCAGTTTTCCACTTAACACCAGGTGGGCTGTGAGCTCGTCCACACATCTCAACAATAAAAAAAAAAAAAAAAAAAAAAAAAAAAAAAAAAAAAAAAAAAAAAAAAAAAAAAAAAAACAAAAAATTNCAGCTGATAACAGAATCGCTCCTCACATAAATTCTCTAACGTTTTTAATGTTCGACTAACTTAAATATATATAAGTATTTTGGAGCATGAGTTTGTTAACTGTAAAAAACGTACGCATTCTACCTTCCACCATCAAACAAGGTTAAAGATGTAAAAAGTACTTTAAGGGTTTCACGGAAAGGTCAAATTGCTGTGATTTATACCAATCTATATAAATGAATTGCTGTTCGTTAGTCTCGCTAAAACTCGAGAACGGCTGAACCGATTTGGCTAATTTTGATCTTAAATTATTTGTCGAAGTCTAGAGAAGGTTTAAAAGGTAGATAAATATGAAAATTCTCGGAATTAAATAAAGTTTAGGTCTTTTATTTATCGATTGAGGCACTACGAAGTCTGCCGGGTCAGCTAGTTTGTAATAAATTAAGGCGTATCTGTCGTCTTTACGTCATTACAGTTGAGAAACACTGCCGATGCGATTTCAGTACTCCATTGGTATTATACTTTAAATGAAGCCTTTATTTATTTATTGCATAGACGAGTGGACGAGCTCACAGCTCACCTGGTGTTAAGTGGTTACCGGAGCTCATAGATATCTACAACGTAAATGCCGCCACCCACCTTGAGATATGAGTTCTAAGGTTTCAATATAGTTATATTCAAGCTATATTCAAGCAGCTATATTCAAGCTTTTAGTTATATCAATTTAATCTTTTCACTTTTAATGTAGAAACAAAGGAATCTTTATAGAAAATTTTGTCTTTGTGTTGCCCGTTCATTCTCATGTTATATACGGCATTTTACAGAAAGACTAGTGAGATTATAGTTTTATTTTGGTGAAATTACGAAATAACACTGAAAATTATCAACAGTTTCTATGACTTCCGAAGTTGTTCTAGATTTGTGTTGCAGCAAAACTATGAAAGATCAGAGCAGCGCGAGGAATTACGTACCTATGTAGTGCCACAACGCTGAGGAGACTTTCCTTTCACTCAAATTTCTCCATTTAACACGCAATATTTTGAATTGATTACATGCAAACACTTAATCAAAATAAGCGGCGTTACAAATAATGCATAATCCAGTTTGAAAATACATCTTATGCTGTTCATTATTGATGTGGTCAGAAGTTTTTGGCCGCAATAATAATGTAAGGCAGTTTTTTAAATTCCTTTTTATCATTAACGTAGATTAGTTAGGCCCCCCTTTGATTCCTACCTGTTCTAGTAACCTCGAGGGGCTACACTAGATTGGGTATAGAGTAGGTGAGCTCACAGAGCTCAACCTGAGGACGTTGCTAAAACTAGCCCTACCAAGAGCAGTGCTTGGCAGAATCTACCACCGGATCTGAAACGCGACCCACCGAGAAGATCCGGCGAGAAACTCAGTGGGCTGTGTCTATGGGTTAATTTACACGACGGGTTCGACGAGAACGGTGACCGGTGCTTGTGGTACATAAAAGCATCGTTAATGGATCGAGAGGCTCCGAAAGTTGTGCCCCAGTCTAGCGTACAAACAACAGAATGGGGATGCTATCGCCCACTTTGAAACCGACATATCTCACCGCACACACTACAATTTTGTGAATACGCTCACATCGTTTGACTCGGCACACAAACAAAATTTTCTTATAATGAACTATCAATTTACTTACAATTTTGAATGTCTTCACGACTATAGTCGCTATAGTCTGAACGGAAACCATTTTAAACGAGATATGAATACACTGAAATATCACAAGTTATCACTATTAAAAACTGTTCCTGTGTCCGCCGACGACAACTTATACGCCAACTGTGCGGCCATTTATCGCTTATCACTGTTGGCTCGTAATCTTATCACTTCCAGCGAATTAGTAGGGCAGGTTGCGATATCATGTTTTTTTCATTAGAACACTTGTCAAACGAATTTCAACTCTAGTTGCTTGGCAATATAATCGTTTTGCAAAATCTATAATGTAGTGTTGAGTAAATTGCTTTATTTAGTAAAGTATTTAGTTTTTCATGAAGGATGAATTCTTAAACAAATGAATCATTATTATAAATCGCATCGTTGTAATTAGTTTTTTGTATAGCCGTGCTATGTAAGGTTGACCGACGTGTCGAAGACATAAGGGAACGTACCCATACTACGTGACCCGTTTGGGGGGGGGGGGAGCGGAGTCTTTAAAATACTACGGTCAGTCACAGGAGCGGGGGGTGGCTCAGGTTTTTGTCACGTAGTCGATTTTAGTGAGAGAAAGTCTTATGCAATAAAGACGAGTATGAACCAAATTATTATTATTTTTTTTCAAATATTTGCCTGTAAAATGATTAACAATCATAATTATGAATTACTACGTGAAAACTAAAGGAGGAGAGGGGGGTCTTGGCATATACTACGAGTGATCACCGAGGGGACGGAGAGGTCGAAAAAACTAAAAAAATAAGTCACGTAGTATGGGTAGTATGGGTACGTTCCCTAATATTATTATCCAGTTCAATCTAATGATAAAACACACTTATTGCTGCAAATATTTGATTTAACGTTAAGTATGTGTTTATTAGTGCGAACTTAGTGAGTCTTTGTATTACCCTCTAACTCCAAGATTAGAAAAGGATAGACATGCCGTCCAGATTCTGACAGTCTCCAGTGTGCTTAGTGCGAGTTTTTTAACGTTCTCGATAGTGTAAAAGTTAACCCAATTTTGTATGCAGTTGGAACAGCGCCCCTAGCGGCAAACGTACGCAAACGATCCCATTCCATACAAATATGAGCTAACTTTTACGCTATCGACAACGTTAAAAAACTCGCACTAAGCACACTGAATCGTTTACAAAACGTTTGCGCAAAACTTATTCCGGGATGTCACCAGGAACTTTTTCTTGCTCTTGTAGGCAAACGAATCCACGGCCCACCTGATGGTGAGTGGTTACCGTTGCTCATGAATGTCAGCAATGCCAGGGCAGAGATAAGCTGCTGCCTACCATAAACCTGCAATCATGGGTACACTTAAAATATGGTATCGAAGCCGTTTTAAATAGCAAGTTTCGAGTCAATCGTATAAGCAACGTCCGAACATACTTTTTTTTTAATAGATCATGTTCCACCATGATGTCTGCAATATGGATATTCGCATCATTACTTACCCACACATACAACTTAAGTCCAGTTACTAGTTTTCTTTTCTGTCAATGTATCGCAAGTATCTATATTAGTATATTAGTACGTGAAGCAAGAACTTTGTATCCCTTTTTACGAAAATTGCGCGGACGGAGGAGTATGAAATTTTCCACACTTATAGAGAAGAAGCGCACAATGCTAATATTTTTTTTAAATAATGCATAAAAGATACATTAAATCAATAAAGAAAACATTACACACACTACATACCATGTATTTGACGCACACACGCATGCATACTATTTATTGTCAAACTTTTGTTCTTGGCGTCTGTTGTCAAATTGAGAATAGATTAAATATTGTTTGCCTTTTTTAATATTTTTCATAGTGTAGTCTTGGCGAAATTTGTGATTATAGAAGTATAAAATACAATCATAATAGTGTACAAACTTACAATTCCAATTAATTATAGTCGAATTTCGACTACTGCGGGGTCACTAGTTACTATTAATGAATAAAATTAATGCCTTCAATATCTATAATTCGTTCAATGTACAATATTTTCTAATATAAAATTATAATGACCTCAATTTTGAAGCTAAATAAAGCTTCTTTTCGAATGGTTTTGGTACTTACAACTGTACGCGTAAGCTTCATTTTATTTAAACAAAAATAATAATAAAAACTTCAATGATATTCAGATGCAATTGTTTTGTATTTACAATTTTCCTTGTAAATGTTGTTTTTAGACCACAAATCTACGAATCGTGCGAAAGTCGGTCAGCTAAAGTTAAGTAGTTCACGAACGACATGTTTTCTTTATTGAAAACAATACGATGTTAGAACGTAGGAATAACTAGACGTTTTTGTTATTTATCATTTCTTGTAAGGTAACGTCTTATGTGCTCACAACCGTGAGCATGGCTTGGCAAAGTAGCGGCGAACGTTATGATAATCGGTCGTCTTGGCCTAAAGGATAAAACGTCCGGTGCGTTCGTGTCGAACGATGCACCGGTGTCCGAATCCCGCAGGCGGGTAACAATTTTTATAATGAAATACATACTTAACAACTGTTCGAGATTGACTTCCATGGTGAAGGAATAGCATCGTGTAATAAAAAAAAACGGTTGTCTGTAAAGTCGGTTTACTGACGATAGTTGAACGTGACAACGTCATAAGAAAATACTGATGGAATGGTTTCATTTTTCAATTATCGCAATTATCGTTGCTATAAACAATTGACACCACATTCACTTTTCACTGAACTTCATACTTGACGAAAACATGTAAATATATTATTGTATAGCAGCTATCCACGCGGATGCATCGCTCACTCAAGTAGGAGAGAGACAGATGTCGAACGCTGCCGAACGCGGAGGCCGATTGTGCCTCTTTGTCGCTCGTTGCGCGCTCTCGCTTGCACTTCAAGCCTTAAATGGAACGCCTCAGAGCGAGGCAACGCCACATGAGTCATGATTTTTTCGTGCGTGCAGCCGGCTCCATCGAATTATAAGACGTTGTCACGTCAAAATCAAACTCGTAAAATTATAATTTGTGTAATACCACTATCCCGCCTATTTCTGCCATGAAGCAGTAACGCGTTTCGGCTTGAAGGGTGGGGCAGCTGTTGTAACCATACTGAGACCTTAGAACTCATATCACAAGGTAGGTGGCGGCATTTACGTTATAGATGTCTATGGGCTCCGCTAACCACTTAACACCAGATAGGCTGTGAGCTCGTCCACCCATCTATGCAATAAATAAATAAAAGAAGTAAGTGCCTGGATAGGCTGCTTTGTTTGTTTATTTTTTTATTACAAGGAGAACCAACAGCCAACTAACATAGTAGAATAATATAACAAATAATAGAAACAAAAAACCAATTAAAGGTCCTCACGGATATAAACAAATTGAAACATTAGAGAAACAAAAACATAGAAACAAAGAAATAAAAAACAATCAGCAAGCAAGAAACAACCTGAGCAAAGGAGGAATACACCAGACTATTTTAAATATACACATAAATGACCCAAATTAATAAAAATCAGTTGTGTTACATGTCACTGGTACATGGCCCCGCACCATTTGTCCCATCATCACCCAGGAAAAATCGAGCAATAAGCCGACGTCTGTGATAGAGGAATAAAATGGGTCAATATCTAACAACCGGCCAAGTCTGTTGAGGTCAGTCATTGCGACCGGTTTTGGGCGCTTTACTTCGGACCAAGTTAGCCGGATTATCGTCATATCCGTTGCCACAGTGCGCCGCCAGGTTTCCTTGGGACGTCCTACCTTCCGCTTGCCTTGAAGTTCCACTCGAAGTCTCAGGTCGAGATGCGTGTGCGTGTCTCCTGAGAGTATGGCCTATCCAACAATCTGTAGACAGATATAATTTTCCCTAAGAAAATACGCAATTAACTTAATCACACGAACGACTTAACATCGTAGAAGGATTAGCATTATACAAAGGCATACGCATAATTTAGGTACCACTTGTTTATTGCGATGCTTCGGGACGAAAATAGGAATGATCGTGGTACCTACTCGTTAGGGCCCATAATCGCTTCGCGCCCTCGTTGAATAGACTTAACAATTCTTATAAAATAATAAAACCACATTAATCATTGATGTTACAATTCAATAAAAACAAGTAAATGATTTCATAGACCACAACTGAATCACCGCTCCGAACAGCGATGCTTTAAAAACAATATTACGATTTAAGGAGTCACAGGCGACTTGTGAGATCATAATTAAAACTAATTTTACAGTTTAATCCATTTTATTTTTGATGTGAAACATCTATAGCCGCACGTAAAACCGATTTCTGGCGTGGCGACGCATGCCGTGAGGACGCGTCGCCATGCGCAATCGACTGTGCGATTCTCTCCCACTCGATCCGGCGTTAAGCCATCTCTCTCGCTACACTGAGCTCGGATACCTATAGTGTTATACTCCGTAGTGTATAGTGTTGTTTACTACAGTACACATAACCTGTGTTTTACTTGAAAACAAATTATTTTTTCGTAATATTTTATTTTATCATTATGACATATTTAGTTCCTATCACAATCTGTTCTTTTCTGCATATTACTTTTACAAAATAATGTCGATGTTTCACATCTGCCAGGCGTCCCGTGACGGCTCACGTTTTTTTATTCTCATTTTATTATTTCGACTTTTCGAACATTTTTTAGTTTTCGGTATGAACAATGTTATGTTTTTTTTTTGCTTTTGATTTTGCTGAAACTGATTATTTGACGGTTTGGCACATCGATGGTTTGGCATTCAAATAACCGTATTTGAATGCGTATTTCAGAATAGATTCCGGTGAACAGTGAGCGCTCGCGTACGAATTAAAAAGTTTTGTTTGTAATATTCGAGGTTATTTTTCCTTTTTTTTTTTATAACTTTTTACGACCAAGCTCAGTTCCACCGCAGTGTAGCTGTAAAAAGTCAAAAATAATTCATAAAAGGGATCATCTTAAAATAACATAACAGATTTGATAACTCGAATGCAATAATAAAACATTCGACTGGCCTTTTGATGAAAAGGCGTACTAAATATTAATATTATTTAAGCCGGTGGTTAGGCTGTGTTGAAGCGCCGTCAATAGCTGTCGGCACTTTGTTAATTTTTAGGGCTCCTTGTCCCAATAGCA